AGCTTTTCCATCAATATCTCAAGTACAAGTAATTTTGAATTAATTTTTAATGGTGTCTTCAATACTCTCAGCACATGGGAGTTCTTTCTAAGCTTTCTTGATTTTTTTTACGATGATGAGCAAGCACTAAGGAACTGTTTGTCATTAACAGCCAGCTCACAATTTTGTTTTTGATGCAGACCCTTGTGCGAAGCACATAATGGGAGTTTTTGCAGTTAATGTGTATGTGTGTATGTGTGTCCGACTGTTCCACTGCTATCTCAAGAACCATACATCGGTTTTTGATGAAACTTGGTGCATAGATGCTCTGGGCCAATGCGCAGATTTGATTAGGTTTTGGTAAAAATCCATGCTCATTAAGTACCTAATTTGCATGATAATTAGCTAACTTTTAGCTGTTCCACTGATATCTATTATTTACACAGACTTTCTGGTAAGTATGATTAGGTAAACAAATAGTTTCCAATAAAACTTGTCTACCATTCACTGACCCATAATCAGATAATAGTGATATAATGACCAAATAATGGTGAAATAATGAATGAGTGATGGTGAAATAATAGTGATATGATAACCAAATGAAGGTGAAATAATGAATGAGTAATGATGAAATAATGCTGATATACAGACCAAATGAAAGTGATATAATTGTGGGATAATGAGTGATGGTGAAATAAGTGATATGATGACCAAATAATGGTGAAATAATGAATGAGTGATTGTGATATAGTGACAAAAAGAAGGTGATATAATTGGGATAATGAGTGATACGATGACCAAATGAAGGTGGAATAATGAATGAGTAACGATGAAATAATAGTGATCAGATGAAGGTGAATTAATGCTGATATAATGACCAAAAGAAGGCGATATAATTGAGTGATGGTGATATAATGATCAAATGAAGGTGAATTAATGCTGATATAAAGACCAAATAAGTGGGATAATGACCAAAAGAACTTGGTGAAATAATGCTGATATATTTGTGGGATAATGAGTGATGGTGAAATAATAGTGATGTAATGATCAAATAATGACCAAAAGAAGGTGAAATGACAACAAATGGTGATATAATTGATTAATGGTGAAATAATGCGACAATTATTGCAAAATAAGCAAATGGTAAACAAAATTATCAAATTATTTGACATTACTGGGTAATAGAAAAATAAGAAACTAATGGTGAAATAATGATAGAATACTTGTAATATTACAGATCAAATAATGTAATAATCAAATAATAGAATTCCAATAATCACAAAATAATGTAAAAGCAATAGCGACAGGTAATTTTGGCGGTGATCTCTCAACGACCTGCAAAATGTTAACGAGTTTTGGGTTATAGCGCCACCAATCGACTTCCTTGCGAGAATAGGGAGGGGTGATTTCTAGCGCGTGGGATTTATTTGCTGGGTTCCCTTGTTCCTGGAGTTCTGTGACGTGTTTGTAGTGGCACGTGGCAACAGAAGGGCTCCCAAAGGAAGTAGTTTACACGGCGAACGTAATCCGGGGAAATGGTTTCACGTGATTGCTGTAGGTTGTCCGTTGCTGTGTAAACTCATATAAATGTATAAAATTTATTTTAAAAACACACTAAATAGCATTTTAAGTTTTAAAAAATTGCCTAAACAACTTTTTACATGTCGTTAATTATTTGTCCCCAAAACCTCTCCGTCTCTGCGAGCAAGGGTGGTAAAAACTGCCCCGACGCCCCAGGTGTGACGTCAGATAGTAGTCGAACGAAAACAGGACAGGCCCGAGACGACTAATGTCTGACTTCTGTAAAAACGTATATACTAACCATTTTATCGCGGACTACGTTTTGCATCGTAATGTTATTGTAGTGAAATTGCTCACGTGATACTATAAAAGAGGAAAGAAATAACGTTCTGTTAACTTTATATAGTCGGGAAATAAACGTTTAACACTAATTCCATCTAAAGGGGATACATTCATACATTCTACTTTGTGGAATAATGCCGTGTAAATGTAATGTAGGTGTGTTAGCTACACGCCATGGGTTCCACTAGCTATTGGTAGAACGATAACTGATAGAATAATATTCGTATTAAATATACGCACAAACTAGATACTGCGACATTATATATATATTTAATTTCTTTGCCGATTTGACACGTACTGGATGAATTGAGAAAGCCGAGAGTTATCATTAGCGGCGTACATAAAGGGGGGGGGACAAGGGGATAGCTGGTACAATTTTACGAGAAATAAAAAGGGCTTTTTACAATTTACAGTTTACAGTGAAAATTAAATTTTGCAGTGAATTGTTGTCATTTAGTCGTTTTACAGTTTAGAAAATGTAATTCCCCTGGATTATTCTTTACGGCTTTTTTTATTTGGATGTAAATTCTTGTACGTACCGAGAAAAATGACACATTTTTACAGTGTACGAAAAAAATATTTGATTGATTACGTTGTACGTCTAGCCTGTGATTACAGAATTATAGAATTTTTTTTTTCAATTTACGTTGTACGAACAAAAAAATATTACAATTACGTTGAACGAAAATAACCCTTGCTCCCCCTCCCTCTACATAGGAGTTGTAAAAAAATATTTAACAGCGCCGCCACCGACGAATTGTGCACGCTTCCACTTTATGATTGTGTGCGCGTTTGTGTTCCGCTATACAACATTAGAGATTCTGCTATGCTAAAAGACTAAAAAATAGACGGGATAGAACGCAGCGCATTCAATTTTCGGACACACCGCGTACCAGACGTTTCGTACGCAAACATTATTTATGGCATTCGTAGCTGACGGTCAAGTGCCAAATAACCCAATCGTCATTTTAGTGTCAAATTGTACGTAATTGTATGTGCTAGTTTTGAATTTTTTTTATGAATATAGAAATAAACCATTTTTTCATGTACATACTGAAAACTTGGCGTCGGCGGTACAATAAAATATTGTTCAAAATCAGAGTCACCCGGAGAGTTGTTAATAACACATCAGTAGCAGCACTATTATTTCGACCGTCATCGAACTAACTTTAAATATGCACAGAATGACAGCTACTTAACTAGTGACAGCGATACATCACGATTTACCGCACAGTGGCGATTATTAAAGCGGGGGAGTCGTCACCTACACATGCGTCAGATGACCATAGCGTGTCATTGTTTACAAACAAGCGTTTTTGTTATCGTCGTTTGGGACTCAATTCCCGCGCGTGCGCAGGTGACGACCCTCCCGCTTTAAAGTTTCTGCATTTCACAGCAAACATTCGACATTGAGCTCAGATTAGTGAATTATGCTTTTGAATAATTTAACATGGTGTGTACCTTGTTTTATGAACGGCAGATATGCATAATAATGCAAAGAATAGCATGGTGCACGTGAAAAAATGGTAAGAGCATTGAATGAAAATTCCAAGTTTGCAGGTCACTTGTTCTATATGGCGAACACCCTTTGGCCAGCTTGAGACGTGTCATACCCAGTCTATTTATTATGAAGAGTGGGGTGAAAACAAACTCTCAGGCAGAGTTCTATTTTTACGAATATATCTCTGCCACCACGCGATCTTATGCTTGTCATTGATTGGCCGATGCGTCACAGTAGTACTACTTTCAAAGACGCCGAACAAAACATTGCCATGCAGGTGCTCAATTTTTGAACCCGACGATAGCCTACACGTAGATTTTGACCGTTTGCAAAGTAAGAAGCTGCTTTTTCTTTTACTTTCTGTAGCACAAACGGAGTGCTTTTGTTTGTTTATATTTCTTTGCCTGGTAATCGACAGGACGTTCAGCTTGATGAGCCGAGTAACACCTTAGTAACCGTTATTCCGCGATGAAACTATTTTCTTTCGTTAATAGTAATTATTCAAGTTCACCCTTTCTCTAGTGCGTTCACGAAAAAAATCACTATCAGTTATCGATAAAACTTTACCAGTAGGAAGAAACTACGAGAGCCCCCTAACGACAAAAAAAAATCAAGAATACGCGTAAAAAGTCTTGTTGCGTTTCTCCACAAAATGGCAGTGTGTGGTGACAGAGCGAACTCCGAACACTTCAATAGCATTACTTATCATCACTGCACAAAGCAGCTCTAGATAGACTCATTTGCATATTCGGATATGTTCGAATTAAAAGTCCCTGTCGGTTAACAAAGTTATGCATAAGTGATCCGATTACTTTAATCAGTTTAATAAAATGTTTCACGCCATAAATCTGAAGGAAATGTTCTGTTAATTAATTAAAAGATGCACGATTTACGCAAGGAGTGCGTAGTCCTTTCAAAGTTATCGGGACATTAGATAACACAATAAATGGCTAACTTTATAACTTACTGGAGTCTTTATCTTCTATGGCTGTTAGACCAAGGGTGGTAGGCAAAAGTGCCTGGGTTACTACGATACTAGAAATAATACATAAATATTTACCTTCTTGGTTAAAATAAGTTATTAGTAACATTCTAGAAATGAAAAAAAAGCAGTACTACGAGCATTACCGTGGTGACATGTTTTGACTCGAGCTCGTACATGTAGTAGTGGTTTTGCGTCTTGCTCCGATTCTGGATTTTAGGAAACGAACGTCTAGTGCATACAAGACATGGTCGCGTGCTTTTTGAAAATGTCAAATGTAGGAAGCTTTCACTCCGATCTCCTTCCCAGAGATCCTTGCGGCCATAACACCGAAAGTATGTATACTCATAGAAATATAACTCGGCATGGGAGATTGCCCCCCCCCTACGCAGATGAAATTTTACACCAAAGCGGTCACGGTGTATTAAGGTAACGGCGGGACTAGTCTATAGAGCATGTCTAAACATGCTGCGGCACGTGACGGCACGCTGTCGACGTCAGCGTGGAATTTGGCACGAATCAACTTCGTTGACATCAAATGACGTTTACAGGCACTCTCCACGCAAGATGGTGCTTCTTCTAATCACCTCTGCCACAGCTTGATTATGCATTTATGCAAATCAAGGGTATATCAGTGGCGGATCTAGTGCCGTTGAAAAATTTATTCAATTTGTTTTTGTATAATATAAAAAAATCATTAACTTAGTCTGGCGATTTTAAAGTTTGGACCCCCCCCCCCCATAAAAAATCCTGTATCCGTCCCTGTATATGGCGGGTATATGGTGAATATGGCGGAGTTCGCGGAAACTTTGAAACGCATTCTGAATGAATAACATTCTGACGTTGAATTGAAACCAAAGCAGATGGAAGTTATGGAAAGTGTATGGGAAGAGAAAGATTTAGTAGTTTCCTTGCCAACTGGTTATGGGCCGCCATCTTGAGTAGCCGAACAACACCTGCGTATTGATATGTGGCAAATTATAGCGTGAAAAGTGATGTGTGGCTGAGTTGTTAGCCTGCCTGCGCTAACTTGAAGAACTCTGAGACGGAGAGCGTTTTATAGGTAGACGGTAAACAAAAATCCTGACAGGGTGATCACAAAGAAGGCAAAATAATCCAAAAACAAAGCAAGGGGGTGAGACGCGACCGCTCACAAACATTTAGCATTTTTTGTTTAATTTTAGAAATAATCAGAGAAATTATATTCATGTATAGAAACTGCTGCATTGGTATATTTGTTTTTAATTTCAGAATGAATAGTAACTAACTCACACCAGGTGTCGGTTTTAGTATAGCAGTGTTCGAGGTCAAGGGTCACTTCACGACTCATTTCCGTTCAAATGAAACAAAAAAAGAATAGTCCTCTGGTTGCGTTTGCGACATATCAGTGTGACAGATGAGAAGTGGGTCATGCATACCCAGTCGTTTAACTCAGATTTTGACATATTGAATACATGTCTATGCATACTTGC